TTTCTTATAGAAATGTTTCTTATTTTCATATGCTTATAATTTTTAAACTTATGATTATATTTTAAGCATTTTATACTTTTTTGAAGCCTCATTCCTTTATAAATATTGTGTAAAAGTTTCGAATTATTTAATTTAAATTTAAAAGAATTATACATGTTTGAAAATTGTTTATATTTTCAGCCCTCTTGAGGAATTTAACACCCCTGAGACCCCATAAGCAACTTTTGGAAACGAAAGTGGGAGTCGATGGAAGAATTATAACCACAATAGAACAGAATAAAAAAAATCATACCTACAGAATTAAGTAAAACAGAATCAAAACCTCTTTTCTTTCGTGGATATTATATCTAATCTTTATTGTTTTATTTTTACTTTTATTTTTTTAATATTTGTATAATTATAATAGTTATAATTAATAATGTTGTTAATAATTTTATCACTACTTTTTTTATTTTTTAAGAATTCGGTAATTCGCAAATTCGCATTTTAGTATTCGAGCTTGTCATATCAACGTACGGTTAGGCTTAGAATGGCAACAAGCGAAGAAATATGAAACGAAGCACATGATTGCCAATTCAACGCTCACGACACGTATAAAATCGGGCTGCCCCAATTTGGTGAGTTATCTGGAAAGTTAGCATGGTTGCGAAGGTATCGTCGAGGCTTTTTAGGGTGTACTAGTACTCCTCAGAGAAAAGAAAGAAAAGAAAAAGAGCAAACTTAGTTTTACAACCTAGAGATACAGTTATTAAAATCTGAGAGAACTATACTAAATGTATTTTTTTAAACATCTTTTACAAAAATATGAAAGGAACAGAAAGAAAAATAAAATCAACTATAAAGGTTCCTGTAGTTTTCTCACATTCTGCATCTCCAGAATATATATATATATAGTTCCCCTCTCTATTGATTATAATAGTTTTTAGAGGCATCACCTGGATAATTTCACTTACTCGCTGTGATTTAATTAATATTTCACAATATCTCACCCGGAGATGGTATCTACTTTAATATTATTACTTAGGGATATTTCCGGGATCTGATCTCTGCGTGAGTTGCTTTTCAAGATTAAATGAAGGTCATAATTAGAATATATAATTAGAAATGTTGCTGTGAAGACGAGTAGAGAAAGGAGTTTCATACGGAGTATATTCCAGACAAACAATAGGCTTTTATTTATGATCGCTCGCATTAAAGATTACTATAATGAATTTTTCCATTTTCTATGTTTTCGTTCGAGGCGACTGCATTTTTGATATCCTACATGCACCATAAGAATTGGAAATCGAAATTGAAACAAAGAAACGAATGGTTATTGTTGCCATATTTAGTTCAGAGTACTTTTATGGATGTAATACATCATACATTTTGATGTGAAAAACGGGTTTCTAATAGGATATGTTCGTGTTTTTGAATAATATGTATAAAAATAAGATAGATCATGTTCTGTCTCATGTTTAATGACGGGAATAAGTCTCGTGATCATAAGAAAGATGGTAAACAAGATAATAATGTCAAAAGTACTTCTTAAATTGATCCAAATGTTTTCGATCTTTAGTGAAAACTCGATACAACTTAATTTTCCAAAGATTTATTTTTAAAAATATTAGGAGGACGCTCATAAATAATCTATTATATTTAATGTTTCGAGTAGCATGATACAGGAGTTATATCAGATCTCCTCTTTTTGTCCAGCAGTTTTTACAAAAAATTAATGCAAAAATAGAAATATCAATATAATAGCTTTTTAAAGAATAAAAGAATATTAACAAGAAAGATACGGGGCATAGTTACCGCTATCTCTCTATAAACCTAAATATAAACTAGATATTAGATTTTATATTTATTTACAGTACTTCGTATTGTAGATTTTCTTTTCGTGGCTCTCGTATGATGGGAAGTTCGTTTCATGAAACTCATTTTCCCATTTTATGTTATGGAAAAATTAACTTATTCTTCAACAGATTCAAATGGAAAACTGAAAAATATATGTATTTGTGTATTGTTCACGCTGTCACTATGTTTATTATTGTTTTTTGTAGCCAAAGTATCCGTTGGTTAAGCATCCTCGTCAACTTTTATGTAAACCTCTCCCGAGTTGTTGAATATTCACTCACACTCACTCACTCATTCCACGAGTTGTTGAAGATTCCTTCTAGTAACAGCGTGCGGTATCATAGTCATGAAATAAAAATTAAATACAGTCTAATCGCCTAAATTCTTTGAATAACTGCCGTATTTTCCGTTAACCGGACCTGCAGTTGATGGAAAAAAAACGGGTTTCTCCAAACTTGGTTCTACCGTTGCTGGTTCATTCTGTGGTCGTGGTAGCGAATGTCATGAGTTCGAGCCCTATTGCTACTGAAGACCCTCCGTATAGAGGGGCTGATGTTAAATATGTTAAGGCTCAAAGTCCGGCCGGGTGTAGTGTGGAAGTATGGAGAAAGGGCTCCAGCTCAGGTATCGTCCTTGTCACTTGACTATGGTTATAAATTATTGTTACATGTTTGGTAGTATAAATTTCATAAGTAATTTCATCCGATACATTCCAAATTTTATAAATAACATTGCTTATTCGTTTATTAACATCGTACTTTTAAGCAACTTGAAACTATTGGTGACGGACCTCATAATTTTCAATCATGGTCAAGTACCAAGAACGACATCTGACGTATTCTCCCCATTCTGAAAACTTCCACACCCTGCCAACAAGAGAACCTTCAGTTTCAAAATATATAATGAATATCAGCCTCTCTATATAGTGGTTCTTCAGTGGCTCCAGAACTCTAACCTAGGATTCGAGAAAAGCAAAGTTGGCCTAGAGTTCGCGTCCATGACCACTCAAGTACACTAGCCACGTGAAGAATATAGCAAGACAGACAGAAACGAAAATTTCACAATTAAGCTCTATTGTTTCGACAGAGTAGATATGTGATAGATGGTTCGACCTTTGTTTGTCTCGCACTCTAAGGCAAAAGAAAAAAGGCTATTCGTGACGAACCCAGGGATTTTCAGTTACTACCGAGGACAACACCTGAGTTGACATGTCCCTTTCCAAACTTGCACACCACGCCAATGGAAGGACTTAGAGCCATGAGCCATTAGCTCCTCTTCACGGGGGTTCATTATTGGAACTAGGTTTCGAACCTGTGACTCCTCAACGCTGACTACAAACGTGTAGTAGAAATACAATGAAAAAAATCAGTGTTACAGTTAACTTAATTTCAGCTTAAAACTTTATAAACTCTATTTCTTTGATCATCATTTTAAGCAACATCTCTCTAAGCTACTTTTTGTTATATGATAGGATCATTGTAAAATATTATTAGTATAATTTTAAAGAACATTTTTGTAATATTTTTTATTATAGTTAGGATTATCACAAATACAGAAGGTCGTTCACACTTTATGGAAACGATTTTGTAATTCATTTTCTCGTTTGAATTTTGAAATAAAACTTTGGCAACTTCAGAATAGTTTTGTCTGTACATATTTCCTTTTAACTGGAATATAAAATGAATGATTTATATTTTAAAAATGGCTCCTAAAATTGATGTATGGCTCAAAAGTTACGTAAATGCGCTTTCCGAGGAAAGATATGCGAATTAAAAAATTTAAAGAAGTGTAAAAATCTCTGTTGCTGCGTTTCAATAAAAAGTATTTATAATATATCATATTTCAAAAGAAAAAACATCTAGCTGAAAGTAAAAATGAAAACATGACCTCGACCTTTCATCCTAAGACTGTTCAAACGTAGGTAGCTATTAAGAAAGAAAAGTCTCCGATCCTAAAAGAAAATACAACGACTCAAAGATTCATTGCATTGAGACTAAAAATGTCTCTTTCTCTCAGCTCTGTAATTAAAATCATTCATAAAGATTTAAAGTTTAAAAAGACGTTTGAACATAAAGTTCATCTCCTTTTTAACACGCTTTTATAAGTTTCACTTGTTTGTAACGGAATCTTTGAACTCAATTTTTACCCACTTCAAAAGGTCAGAATAATTAGAAATTTTGCTCACTTGTCCAAGGCCGATGACAATACAATAATTTCATAATTTTGTTGCATTGTCCTGATCGAGATCATCGAGATTAACGATTTCCCATTTTCAGATCGCATCCCGCCTCTGGTGACTTATTCGAGATTTGGCGACTAAAAGATTAAGTTACACAATTTAGTTCGATCAACTATCTATATAAAAGGGTGTTTTTTAGTTTTTGAAGTTATACTTCTTTTGGGGCGTTAGAGAGAAATAGGATGAGGGTAAATTTTTACAATGCTCGCACACCGTCACGGATGTGACGCAAAACCGTCACGGATGCGAAAATCCTTTGTCTAGAAATATACAGAACGGGGCAAATCATTCCCGCCTTCGAAATTCTGAGAAAAATATTTCTCTTCTCATCTCTTCCCTGAAGAAGGGGACACCCGGGTTTGAACCAGAGAACTCTCGGTCGGCAGCCGAATGATCTACAACTGATCTATACACCCGCGTCAGTGAACCTTTGTTTTGAGTTCCGCAGGAACGTATACGAAAATGCTGTCTAGAAATATACAGAACGGGACAGATCGTTGCCGCCTTCGACCCCCTCCGCATATTATTGGTCCTACTGTCCCTGTGCAGGGTGTTTAAATGTATTTAAATCATGGTTATCTCAGGTTTGGCTATAGTCCGGTTGACTAAAGGTTAATATCGTTCAACTCTGCTCGTGACCGCCTTTCGTCCTTAGCCCACAGCTTGCCCTGCAAAAGATTTTTAGAAAGATTTTAATCTTCTTACGCCAAAGAAGTATAACTTCTTACGTGCGTACATAAGTACACACACACTTTTTTTTTAAACTGTAATTTTTTTATTTAAAACATATGCTGAAAGAAAAGCAAACTGTAGAAAATTATATAAAAAATACCTAGCTGCTGAAAAATGGAAATTTGTGGTAACACTCGATGAGGCAGGGGTATATTTAAATGACTGTAATAAAAGAAAATCAATTTTCTATTGCTCAATTGACGCGAATGACAGTACAAAATGGCTTCGTCAGTGTACAGAAAAGTTTCCAAAGGGATTCATGATAGCTGCAGGTTTTTGGTATAGCGGCAAATTAAAAATCAAAAAAGTCTGAAGTAAAGCCAAAATTAATTCACTCTACTATCAGCAGAATATTTTAGAACCAAATTTTGACGAAGAATTTACAACCTTATATGGAAAGGACATTGATAAAATTGAGTTTCATATAGACAAAGACTCTAGTCACGCGTCTAAGTCGATTGCTACTTATATAAAAAAATAAACAATGTGTATCCCATTTGATGAAATACGTGCAAAATCCCCCTACTCTTCTCCAGTGGACTTTCGTGCTTTCGGTTTATTAAAACAAGCGTTAGGTTTATTGATTGAATATTAACGTCGCACTGTTTAGCTACACGAGGGCTTTTGGCGAAGGACCACGTAATTTTGAACCATGGTCAAGTGACGTGGATGACACCTGAGCTGGCACCCCTCTCTCCTAACTACCACACCATACCAATTGGAGTACGTTTCAGCTCTCGACAGATTTAACGTGCATCGCTGCCCTACACGACGGGTCTTTAGTGGTACTGGGCTCGAACTCGCGACAAGGCAAGCCACGATCCGATACCTATACCACTCGGCTACCACGACCACAACAAGCTTTAGGAAAACGGCATCCAAGAATACTGAACGAACTTTGGATAAAACGGCTTAAGAGGAATAGAGAAACTTTCTCATGACCGTATTATATAAGAAAAAGTTTACTTTCATTAAAACTTCTAGCTAGAGCTATTGTCAAGAATCCTAACTATCATATAGAAGCAAATTTCCTCACACAAAAAAGTATTTATTGGTACAAATCACAATTTGTACCAATAAAATGTTGACACTTTAATAAACCAAATAAATTGTGGTACCAAATAAATCATACACCAAATAAATTGTTCGTACTTTATGGAAACGAATGGGTTTCCATAAAGTGTGAAAAATCTTCTGTATTTTGACATACCGCAGTGAGAACTTTTTATTCTGTGATTCATTCAAATAATTGTAAGTTGGGAGCTTCTTTTTTTATTACCTTAGCAGACTTATTGGGCTGTTCAATATTTGGGGATCTAGCCTTGTTTTATAGACTTTCTAATCATTGATTATAACCTATTAAATTCCATAAAATTTTGCGCTTATACGAACAATTTAACTACTTGAAACTTTGTTTTTCCAAAATGCGCATCAAACGTTCTGCTGTTTTGTTAAAACTATTATAAAAGACATCTTAAATAAAAAGAGAAAAAAAAAATGTTACCTGTAGAATAGTGAAAGAATTTTCATCGGATAAACAGTTTGTCACGAAAACCGTCTGTTATACTTACTGGTTATAACATCATGTGTGTCTCTGTATTCTTAATTTGCACTATCTAAAAGAAACATTTTTCAGAGACAAATAAGGCTAGGAAAGGTTGAATATTGTAAGTTAGTTTATTTCAAATTTTTCACATACACACATTTAGAGATCAGCAAAACAAATCTTTAGTTTTTTTTTTTTTTTTTTGGAGAGAGAGAAACGAAGTTTTTTATCTGTCATTAGTGAGTACCGAAAAATCCGGCGCGTATAACGCGCACCTAACTTTCAAGCTGCAATTTTTAATCTTTATAGGTATATTCGCGCCATACAACGCGCACCCCATTTTTAACAAAGAAACCTGAAAAGTACGCGAGCAATGCTCTTTCGTTTTGAAGTCTGAATTCGAGGTATTATTCCAAGTTTTAGAAAAAAATAGTATATTTCTAAAGAGCTAAAACCCTTTAAAGGAAACCCTTTAGGAATGTCATTTCTTTTAAATAAAAAATATTTCTATATAAATAGAAATCTAATTTTTTTTCAATGCTCATCTTCTTTTCATATTTAAATCTCTCATTTTTATACCCGGTGTATAACACGTATCCGGTGTACACCCGTGTAAATTTCAATGGTATTTTTTGTCTTAAAAGTTCGCGTTATACACGCCGGATTTTACAGTAAATATTATTAATTGGGGCTTGTTAAATGGATTTTTACTATAACTATATTCGTAAAATGCAAAGTATTTTAATAAACGCATTTTACGTAAGACGCGCTTAAATGTTGGTATTTTCATACAGGAAATGGCATTTGAATTATCCTAAACTATTGTAACTTTTGTACAGTGAAACGAACAATTAAAAACTCGGTATTTTTATAAACCTATACATTGACCACACGCACAACAAAATTAAATCATAATGAGTGCCTTTGACAATTTTTGACTAATTCCGCGATTTCAAAGTAGTCAGATACCTTAAGATAAATTATAATTGCAAACTTGTCAAATTTTCAGGTCTACTTAAAGTATATGAACCTTTTTTAAACTTTAATAATTAGTTATATTCGATATATTCTCTTATTATACATTTACTATCTTTTTTTAGAATCCCATTCAAATGGCATTTTTTAAACGCGAATTCAAGATATGAAACTCATATTTATTTTATACAAAATTCCTATTTATTAAGCTGTTTTTCTGACTCTATGCATAACCAAAGTTTTAAAATATGATCAAATATATTTTCACAACAAATATTGCATTTTGCCATATTTGTTAAGAAATTGACATACATAATGCACATTTGGACTACCCCAAACATGCATATATATTATACAATAATACAATCGTAAAAGTGATTTAGGAACTGGAATATAGAGCTAATGCTTAAAAACTCATACATATTTGTATTCTGTTTTTAATTTCACTAAAATTAAATTTGAAAAGATTGATTTCTAAAATAGTTCCTGTTTTTTTTTTAAATAAAAAAAATAATTCTGGAAAGTAAGTATTCGTAATAAATTATTTCTTGCAACTAAATTTAAATCATAAAAAATACTTCAAATATTTCACAGGCAACTTTAATAAAATACAATTTTTTGGATACAAAGAACTCAACACACACATTGACTTGAAAGTTAAGAAAAAATGGTTTTTCCCCAACAATGGATTCGAAACGTAAATTAAAACCTTAAGAGACTTTCTAGTTTCTCTCCACACACACACATTTCGTTTTTTTTCTCTCCTTTACTTTTCCTGTGACACAATTATGAAGTCGGCGAAAACATCCCTACTTGAATTCAAGAGCTAATAACTGAAGAAGGAAATATAAAACGCGGAATATCTATATATTTATCATCCAATGTTTGTGGAGCATGCTTTTAGAATTTCCTTCGAGGACTTCCCTCCATTGTGAATGTTTTTCTACTTGGTTCGATTATATTAACAAAAGGTTGGGGGGGGGAGGTCCTCCCCCTACAATAATTTTTTTAAATTAAGTTGTTAAGGCTTTTGTATCAAATTTTCTGACAAGGAGAGCAACAGAGTATTTATTAACTGGTGGTGTTGCGTAAATTCAACTTCTGATTATGTATTTACTTAGAAAGTCAGTTTTCATCATAATACTAAAGTGTCTTTTTTTTCCCAAACAACTTTTATCATACAGGAATCAGGGTCTTTGTCGTATAATAAAACCTTATATGTGCGACGTAATCTTTTACCAAAACAATATTTTTTTTTTATTTATGTCGACACATATTTTGAAAAAAATATTTATCGAACTATCTCATTTTTTACTGTTTTAAAAATTGTTTAAATTATTTATTATGTGTATAAATATTTAAAAATCATTCAGTGAGCAAACGTTTGATATAGTTTAACTTAAAAAATTGATCCTCATGATACGTGTTTGAAATATTTCAATGCTTTAAGCTAAAAATTCAGTTTTGATGACTTGTTTTTTTTACTTGGAGTCTGACAATTTAATTTTAATTGCAGAAATTATTTATTGCATAGTTTTTTTTAAGATTACAGTATATAACATTAGAGTTTCAGAGAATATATATATATTACAGTAAAAAGAGTATATTTTATGTCCAAATGTTTTAAGGTTTTAGTAGCTCAAGTAGGCTTTTAAGCTATGAATGTTTTTATTTCATTTAGACACTGAAAAGTTGATTTAGTTTCTAGAAAATTTCTTAGAAATGTAGTGAAGCAAAAAGCTCATAGATCATTCATAGATAACTTTGCAAAAAGCGTTATGGCCGTGGTAGCCCAGTACCGCTGAAGACCCGCCGTGTAGGGAGGAGATGCACGTTAAATATGTCAAGAGCTCAAACGTCCTCCCATTGGTGTGGTGTGGTAGTTAGGAAAGGATGGTGCCAGCTCAAATGTCGTCCACGTTACTTGACCATGGTTCGAAATTATGAAATCCATCGCCAAAAGCCCTCGAGTAGCTGAAAAGGGCGACGTTAATATTCATCATTCAAAAAGCGTTTTTTGTTTCAGAGAACATTTTATAATCTTTTTTTTCTAAAAATAACAGACAGATAATTTGTTATCGGAAAGTAATAGTTCAGTGAAATGGAATCCAAAATAGGTTTCGAATTTCGCAAAATACAAATAGTATTTATAAAATATATTCA